TTTAATCTTCCCTTTTTCTCTTAGCCCAAATTGTCACTTTCTTTCCTAAAATTGATTTCTAAGATCCCTGGGTTTTGTATTATTTTATAACCTTTTCAGCTTCATAAATTTTTCTTTTATATTTCATGGCCAACTTATTTGGAGCCTTTGCTGTTTTACAGTTTAGGTTTTTTGTGTTTTAAAAATACAGCTACCACAGTTTACCCAAATTTGTAACATAATTGTGATCTGAACCCAACTGTCTCAGGAATAGAATAATATCTTTTTGTTTTTATTTTTGAAATTGATTTTGAGAGCAAGAGGGAGAGGAAGAGAGAGAGAGAGACAGACAGAGACAGAGACACATTTATAGGCTGCTTCCTGCACGCCCCCTACTGGGGAACGAGCCTCAATCTGGGCATGTGCCCTGACCAGGAATTCAGCCGTGACCTCCGGGTTCCTAGGTCGATGCTCAACCACTGAGCCATGCTGGCTGGGCCAGTATCTTTTTGTATTGTGTGTGCCAGGTTTTTCTTTAAGCCAATACAGTTTCAAACAGTTTGGTGGGTATATTAAAATCCTCCCTTGCCCTGGTCAGTATGACACTCGGTTGCAGTGTCATCCTATGCACTGAAGAATCAAGGGTTTTCTTCCTGGTCAGGGCAATGTACCCAGATTGTGGGTTTGATCCCTGGTCAGTGCATGTGTGGGAGGCAGCCAGTTGATGTCTTTCTTCCTCGTTCTAAAATCAATTAAAAATAATCCTCAGTACAGGTCTTCAAATTGGTGAATTATTTTTCCTTTTAACGATTGTACCTATTGTGAGAATGTTCTGCTTCTCCCAAAAGTGATATTCAGCTTTAGAATTGTAAAGTTTATAATGAAGCCACATTAATGACTCAATTACAGTTAATGAAAACACTGTATTGTGCAGTTAGTGATAGTGTCACTAACTAGAATGCCTATTGTTTCTGTTTAAGCAGGAAGTAGAACATACCACCTCCACTGAAAAAGCAGTTTTGGAAAACATTTTATAGAAGTTGGGTTTCTGATTATCAAAAACCCTCAAAAACAATGAACCTTACTTTGACTCTCTCTTTAACAGATGTTTTATTGTGCCTGGCTAACTATAGTCGAGGGGGCGATGGTCCGATGTGTCGTCCAGTAATTCTATTACCAAAAGATGACACTGCCGTCTTCTTAGACCTTAAAGGGTCACGCCATCCCTGCATTACGAAGACTTTTTTTGGAGATGACTTTATTCCTAATGACATTCTAATAGGCTGTGAGGAGGAGGAGGAAGAAAATGGCAAAGCTTATTGTGTGCTTGTTACTGGACCTAATATGGGGGGCAAGTCTACACTCATGAGACAGGTAAACTGACTGTTAAGGTTTTGTTAAACTTACAAATGACTTTCTGTAAGAATGAATGTAGTACATATTTAGGCTGTTTTCAAATAGCATTACATAGAATTCAATCAGTAACTTAAGGGACCGAAGAGAACTCCTTGTGTTACAAAATTGAGAATTGTATATATATTTTTAATATATCTTTATTGATTTCAGAGAGAGAGGAAAGGAGAGGGACAGAGACAGAAACATCAATGAGTCATTGGGGATCGAGCCCGCAGCCCGGGCATGTGCCCTGACTGGGAATCGAACGTCAATCTCCTGGATCTTAGGTCAATGCTCAACCACTGAGCCACGCCCACATGGGCGAGAATTGTATTATCATCAAGTAACTGATGTTAAGGAAAGAATATATTAAAAAGAAGAGGGAGATTATGATTTCTTTGTAAGTTTTTTGACTTGAATTAATTTCCTCTGAAGGTAGATGAATGAAAATTATACAAATGTTGCAGGTTTGTCCTTGTTAGACAGTTAATTAGACTCATTTGTAGGAAGCTTTACTTACAAAAGAACCATGGCAGGCTTATTCACACAGAAAAGCAAATAAAATTTGTGACCTCTAGTAACTGTTGTGAACTTTTAGGGAAGACAGTATATGTTTGTCCTTACACCAGAGATTGACCTACATATTGACATATTTTTAAAGGGTTGTAGAAAAAAAATAGTATATGACAAAGACATTGAGCCCATGACAGAAATGTTTGTTGACCTTCCTGTTCTCCTGTACTGTATTATACTTTTGTTCACCAGATTTGCTCACTAGAGGCAGTATAGTGTATAGTGGTTTTCAACCTTAAAAAAATTTGGAAAGCTTCATGAATTTGCATGTTATCTTTGTGCAAGGACCATGCTAATCTCTGTATTGTTCCAATTTTAGTATCTTGCTGAAGCAAGCACTTTATTTTTAATCAAAGTCAAAGTCAAATCACTTAGGGAGCTCAACAAAAATGTACAGGGAGTGCCTGGCTGGGGGCTGGGTGTGGCTCAGTGGTTGAGCATCAACCTGGGATCCAGGAGATCGGGGTTTGATTCCTGGTCAGGGCACATGCCCAGGTTGCGGGCTGCAGCCGATCAATGACTCTCATCATTGATCTCTCTCTCTCCCTCTCCCCCTCTCTCCCCCACTCCCCCTCCCTCTCTCTGAAATCAGTATTAAGATATTTTTTTAAAAAAATGTACAGGGAGGACTCCATCCTCCGAAAGGAATCCATTTGGTTTAGAATTGGTTCTAGCATGTTTAAAAGAACTCCCAAGTGATTTGACTAGTGTCCTGCTCTGAGATGTTAAAGCCAGTTAAGGCCCTAAGCCTCTTGCCTTCTAAGCCTCACTTTTCTTACTTAGGATTGTGAAGGTTTTTCTTTTACAGTGTCTGACTCTTCCTACATAATGGTTTTTAGGAAAGATTGTTTAGCTTGTCGTATTGTCTGTCTTCTGTGTATATATAGATATGTCTAAATGTGTCTTTCAACATTTATATGATATTCTTGAGTACCAGTCATAAAAGACCTTTTCCTCCCTCATTCACAGGCCGGCCTATTAGCTGTAATGGCCCAGATGGGTTGTTATGTACCTGCTGAGGTGTGTAGGCTCACACCAATTGATAGAATATTTACTAGACTTGGTGCCTCAGACAGAATAATGTCAGGTGAGGTTTTTTTTTTTCCCTGTATAAGGCTTTATTTGATGTTTGATTTTGTGTGTGTGTGTACGTGTTGTATGTGAAGCAGAAAGCTTTCAGGCATTTGAAAACATTATTCATTTATTAGAATACTGTAAGTAATCTCTTAATGAGATTTAACCTTTAGTACCACTGAGCAGCTCATGATAAATTCAAGTAACACGAATCTAAAAGATGAATTTACTGTTGCAATAGGATTCTTAAAATGATCACCCATTTGTGATTTTTTTTTCTTTTTAAGGTGAAAGTACATTTTTTGTTGAATTGAGTGAAACTGCCAGTATACTTACACATGCAACAGCACATTCTCTGGTGCTTGTGGATGAATTAGGTAAGACATTAAAATTTCCAATGGAAGGCTATCTTTAAAACATCTTAAAGAAGAATATGAATGGACTCACCTTGTGTCATAGACCCACAGTTGGAGATAACGTGAAAGTCTTTATTAAATTTCTTAATCCTATTTAAATTTAGTTGCTGTAATATGGGGATAATGAGACTGTTGAAGGAGAACAGGAAGTTTCTGAAGATCAGTGGTACTTTAGCAGTACTCTTTTTTTTTTTCTTTTTTTAAATATATCTTTATTGATTTCAGAGAGAGGAAAGGAGAGGGAGAGAGAGAGACAGAAACATCAATGATGAGAAAGTCATTGATTGAGCCTGAAACCCAGGCATGTGCCCTGACCGGGAATCGAACCCTGATCGCCTGGATCCCAGGTCGACGCTCAACCGCTGAGCCATGCCCGGCCGGGCTTTAGCAGTACTCTTAAAAAAAGAAATGCGCCCGGCTTGGCGTGGCTCAGCGGTTAAGCATCGGCCTAGGATCCAGGATATGATGGCTCGATTCCCGGTCAGGGCACATGTCCAGGTTTCGGGCCCCAGCGGCGTGCAGGAGGCAGCGGATCACTGACTCATCACTGATGTTTCTCTCTCTCCCCCTCTCCCTTCCTCTCTGGGGGGAGAAAAAA